AGCTATTATTTACACACAAAACAAATATAATAAATGATAGCTATTATTAACACACAAAACAAATATAATAAATCAGAGTTATTATTAACACATAAAATAAATATAATAAATGATAGCTATTATTAACACACAAAACAAATATAATGAGAGTTATTACTAACACACAAAATAAATATAATAAATCAGAGTTATTATTAACACATAAGATAAATATAATAAATCAGTTATTATTAACACATAAAATAAATATAATAAATGAGAGCTATTATTAACACACAAAACAAATATAATAAATCAGAGCTATTATTAACACACAAAATAAATATAATAAATGCGAGCTATTATTAACCTATGAAATTCCAAGGAAGCAATAACTAAAATCCATTCTTATTTCATATAAAAACATAACAGTGTAGTTCTAAAAACTGTTGAACTGAAATCTTTTTTTTCTGACACATCACATGACTCTGAGACAAAATAATACACAAATCGTCCAATGAAGCAAGCATGAGAGAAAAAGTTATTCACAACAAAAGCAACCAGCACTGAAAGTGTAAAGGACAAAATAATAAGTACATCAATCATTCAAAAAAGATTAGTATGATAAGGTACTTTTTAATACATGTAGCATGTAAGTTTTCACACACATAGGAAAATATACTGTTGAAATATTAATATCAATATCATTTATCACTATGACATATTATACTATTTTTGTCAACAATTAACTGAAACTACATAAATGCAACATAATAAAAGTATCAAATGCTTTCACCAAGGTAAAGTAATATCATCAGATGACTTTATATTGATACAAGTTTGTACTGAGCAATTCAACATCATCAGGTGTTCACATATCAACAAAAGTTTTACTGAGTTAACTCAGCATCATCAGGTGTTTATATATCAACAGAAGGTTTTACTAAACTTACTCAGTATCATCATATGACTGTATATTGATACATGTTTGTACTGAGCAATTCAACATCATCAGGTGTTCCCATATCAACAGAAGTTTTTACTGAGTTAACTCAGCATCATCAGATGTCAATATATCAACAGAAGTTTTTACTGAGTTAACTCAGTATTATCAGGTGTCCATACATCAATAGAAGTTTGTACTGAACTAGCTCTGCATCATCAGGTGTTTATATATCAACAGATATTTTTACTGAACTAACTCAGTATCATCAGATGTCCATATATCAACAGAAGTTTTTACTGAGATAACTCAGTATCATCAGGCATCCATATATCAACAGAAGTTTCAACTCAACAAACTCAGTATCAACAGGTGTCTTATATATCAACAGAAGGTTTTACTAAACTTACTCAGTATCATCAGATGTCCATATATCAACAGAAGTTTTTACTGAGTTAACTCAGCATTATCAGGTGTACATATATCAACAGAAGGTTTTACTGAACTAACTCAGCATCATCAGGTGTTTATATATCAACAGATGTTTTTACTGAACTAACTCAACATCAGGCGTCCATATATCAACAGAAGTTTTTACTGAGATAACTCAGTATCAACAGGTGTCCATATATCAACAGAAGTTTTTACTGAGATAACTCAGTATAATCAGGTGTCCATATATCAACAGAAGGTTTTACTGAGATAACTCAGTATCAACAGGTGTCTTATATATCAAGAAAAGTTTTTATTGAGCTAAGTCAGCATCATGAGGTGTCCATGTACTATATGAATATATGAATGATTAAAAGCTTGAGTAGAATATAAAACAAAATGTAATATACAGTTAGAATAAGAAGAAAAAAAAAAGACATGAAATGTGATATTTAATTACAGAACCACGTTTCTCCATTCAACTTCTTGTCTTTTGTTTAAGTAATGTAGAAGCACTTTGACTAAGACTGTGTTGTAGCTGAATCCTCATGATGAATTCTTCTCTATAACGTAGTTCAAATGCTAACACAAACTCTTGTATTAAATTAGTAGTCTTAACTCATGTCTTTCACCATACAAGTAACTTTATAGCAAATTAAACTTTAATAATTTTGGAATTATAAACAGTAGCAGAAAGATGAAGAGAAAAAAAACACAAAAGTTCTTATATCTTGATTAACATTTTTTTAGAGTTAAACAGCTAAAATTATTCATTGTACTTGCAGTTAGATCCTCAGAAGTTGGAAGGTCAGATACAGATGAAATTACTCACCATTCTTATAGCTAGGTTCTCTGAAGTTGGGAGAGCAGATACGGGTGAAACTACTCACTATGCAGCTAAGTCCTTGGAAGTTGGGAGGTCAGATACAGATGAAATTACTCACCATTCTTATAGCTAGGTTCTCTAAAGTTGGGAGGGCAGATAGAGGTGAAACTACTCACCATGCAGCTAAGTCCTTGGAAGTTGGAAGCTCAGATACAGGTGAAACTACTCACCATTCTTATAGCTAGGTTCTCTGAAGTCGGGAGAGCAGATACGGGCTTCCAAGGACTTAGCTGCATGGTGAGTAGTTTCACTCAGATACAGGTGAAACTACTCACCATTCTTGCAGCTAGGTTCTCTAAAGTCAGGAGGGCAGATACGGGTGAAACTACTCACCATGCAGCTAAGTCCTTGGAAGCTCAGATACAGGTGAAACTATTCATTATGCAGCTAAGTCCTTGGAAGTCGGGAGGGCAGATAGAGGTGAAAATACTCACTATACTTGTACAAAGGTTTTCAGAAGCTGGGAGGGTAGGTACAAGGGAAACTACTCACCATACTTGCAGCTAGGTCCTCGGAAGTTGGGAGGGCAGATACAGATGAAATTACTCACCATTCTTATAGCTAGGTTCTCTGAAGTTAGGAGGGCAGATAGAGGTGAAAATACTCACTATACTTGTACAAAGGTTTTCAGAAGCTGGGAGGGTAGGTACAAGGGAAACTACTCACCATACTTGCAGCTAGGTCCTCGGAAGTTGGGAGGGCAGATACAATGATTGTTCCCAGCACATTTACCACCATTCATACATGGAGGATCACATATTGCTGTAACAAAGTTTTCATATATTTTAATAAACAATGAATAAAACTGTAGATATACATTGACCTACTCTGTATTAATCAGTGAGAATCTTAATGTTGAGCAGTTTAAACAAAAAAAGAGTTAACAAATTGTGAAACTTGACTAAGGAAGCATATTATACTAGTATAATAATAGGTAGATAAACAATGATTTATAAGCATAAGGAAAACTTTTATTGATGGTGGAACATGCTACATGTTTTGACAAACCATTGATCTTATCCAGACAAATCAAGACTGTACACATCATAGATAGATCAAGACCAATGTCCTGTCAAAAATGGGGTAGTATGTTTTACCATCAATAAAACTTTTCCTTATGTTTATAGATCATTGTTTACCTACCTAAGTTGTGAAACTTATTTTCATAATGTTAGGACTATAGCTAGAATCTATTTTTATCTTAGTATAAAGGCATAAAAACACAAAGTGTTCATAACAAAGTTATAATCCTTGGCTAAGTAATAATAAAACTTCAACTTTTACTAACAGTGAGTAAATATATTAAATTACATACAAATATATATATATATGATCTAACTGTTAAAATTAGGAAAATATATATTGACATGTGATTTAATTTAATTAACCATGTGAACAGGCAACACCTCATAAAAAACATTGCCCCAGTTCTACATCATATTTACAAACAGATACTAGGTCAATCATGACTAATAATTTTTTTTTATTCTAATTAAGTCAAAAATCACAAAGAAGTTGGAAAAATTAATTTAACTCCAGGTAATTCCTCATCAAGCTACATATTTTCTGAAGATGTCACACACTTTCTAAACATTACATACAAAACCATCTGAATCTGTTTTCCAGTGAAACTTTAGGCAAAGTACATATATATATATATATATATATAAAAGGTTTTTAAAATCATCTTTCTGAAGATGTTACAAGTTTTCTGAAAGTGTTACAAGCAGTACTTTCTTAAAATTTTATATACTTTCTGAAGATGTTACGTATAGTACTTTATGAAGGTATTACATACATTACTATCTTAAAACGTTGTATACTTTCTGAAGACACTACACTCGGCACTTTCTGAAGATGTTAAATATACTACTTTATGAAGGTATTACATACATTACTATTATAAAATGTTGTATACTTTCTGAAGACGCTACACTCAGCACTTTCTGAAGATGTTAAATATACTACTTTATGAAGGTATTACATACATTACTATTATAAAATGTATACTTTCTGAAAACACTACACTCGGCACTTTCTGAAGATGATAAATACTTTCTAGAGAAACTGCATACTTTCTGAAGATGTTACATATGTGTATTGAGATATCAAGTGAGGATGCAGTGAATTGAGTTCATAATGGAACATGGTATGTAAGAAGTTTTAGGGTGGGTATGTTTTTTTAGGATTTATTGGAAGGATGATGATGTTTCAAAATTTTTAGTGAAGCATGGTAAGGTGTGGTTTAGGGATGTGGTGTGTAAGATGTTTTAGGGAGGATATCTTATTTAGGGATTTATTGGCAGGACGATGATGCTTCCAAGTTTTTATAAAATTGTTGTAAAGTGTAGTTTAGGGATGTGGTATGTAAGATATTTTAGTGCAGGTATGTTTTTTAGGGATTTGTTGGCAGAATGATTCCAAGTTTTTTGAAAAGCATGATAAGGTGTGATTTTTGGATGTGGTAAGATATTTTAGGGAGGGTATATTTTTTATATATTTATGGAAAGGATGATGATGTTTCCAAATTTTTAGAGAAGGATGGTAAGGTGTGGTCTTTGAAACAAATTAGCATTTAGCGAACCAGCCACTAGAAGTATTGATGAAACTTGAGAAACTATGACATACTGAACAGTTAACCCAATATTATAGTCAACTTTCAAGCCAAAACTCTATTCTCTAATATGACCAATCAACCAGACCATAAATGTAACACAGAACTTAATGCTTGGTGTGATAATTAAAATGTTGGACAATATGCAGGATTTATATTATACTGCTTTTTTATTTAACATCAAATAACTGGTTTATTGTTACATTTCTTTAAGACTACTTACAAAATTATGAATACCATATACATTAGTTTTTGTTTGAGACTTTTTCTATGCACATTACAAGCTTATATACGAATGGCACATATGATTATATTTGCTTACTCAACTTTCTATAAATTTCAGGCTGCTCTTCGAGTAGTAGTGTGTCAGATAAGTATGACAGTATTTTCTACAGACTGCATGAACTTCCTACCGTATTTGGCTTCCCTAGATTAATATTGTACTGATACAGATAATTTTAATGCCAAATTTCAGGAAATAAAAATTACCTTCACAGTCAGGAAATTCTGTTATAGGGCGCCAGGATCCATCAAATGAATTACATGTCCTTTTCATTTCAGCCACCTTACCAGGGAATTCAAAACCCTTCATACATGTAGCCACACATTCATACCTAAAACAGAAACAAGGTATTATACAACCTTCATTTAAGCCACTTTACCAAGAAACTCAAACCCTTTTATACATGTTGCCACACATTCATACTTAAAACAGAAACAAGATACTATACAACCTTCATTTAAGCCATTTTACCAAGTAACCCAAACCCTTTTATACATGTAGCCATACGTTTATACTTAAAACAGAAACAAGATACTATACAACCTTCATTTAAGCCACTTTACCAAGAAACCCAAACCCTTTTATACATGTAGCCACACATTCATACTTAAAACAGAAAAACAGATTTTCTACAACCTTCATTTAAGCCACTTTACCAAGTAACCCAAACCCTTTTATACATGTAGCCATACGTTCATACTTAAAACAGAAACAAGATACTATACAACCTTCATTTAAGCCACTTTACCAAGAAACCCAAACCCCTTTATACATGTAGCAACACATTCGTACTTAAAACAGAAAAACAGATTTTCTACAACCTTCATTTAAGCCACTTTACCAAGTAACTTAAACCCCTTTCTAAATGAAGCCACACATTCATACTTAAAACAGATACAGAAGACTTACTCAAGAAGATATTATATGATCACATCAATTAACCTGAAGTTTATAATATTTTACACTTTCTTGGTATCATACCACAGCAACAGTCTCTGCAGTAGTATGCCACAACTACTAAACTGTAAATCAACATTCACACCAGACATTATTAGATGCACTTTAATGTAATGGTTGTTAACATTCACACCAGACATTATTATCTGCACTTCCATGTAATGGTTATTAACATTCACACCAGACATTATTAGATGCACTTTAATGTAATGGTTGTTAACATTCACACCAGACATTATTATCTGCACTTCCATGTAATGGTTGTTAAAATTCACACCAGACATTATTAGATGCACTTTAATGTAATGGTTGTTAACATTCACACCAGACATTAGTATCTGCACTTCCATGTAATGGTTGTTAACATTCACACCAGACATTATTAGATGCACTTTAATGTAATGGTTGTTAACATTCACACCAGACATTAGTATCTGCACTTCCATGTAATGGTTGTTAATGTTTACAACAGACATTAGTATGCAGCTTTTACATGTAGTGGTTATCAATATACACAAGAGACATTAGTAGGCAGCTTTTTTCATGTAGTGGGTATCAATACACACAAGAGACATTAGTAGGCAGCTTTTTCATGTAATG